GATTCCTTGGAAATCCGTGTAAGGATAGTCTTCTGAAATCATAACTTCATTTTGGCTTTTTATATTCATTATCTTTTTTCCTAAGTATGTAAGACTGGTATAAAATATCATATTCTCTGTGATAGCCTCAAAGATTTCATTACCTTAGTTTTCTTTTTCAACAAAAGCATTCATATTTCTCAGTGTAGTTTACAATAATGAGCCAAAGTGACCCCAGGCAGCTTTCTTGGAACAGAACAACAAAACCATTCAATGTACAAAGTTTACCCAAGGCTAGGAGAAAAGAAACATAAACAGGTACAAAGTTTATAGAAGAAAAATCATGTGTTGGCTTTTTAAAATTGTCTGCAGTAGAAGAGGTAACCCAAGGAGGAGCATTTATTTTGAGTCACCTTGAAAACAAACAGCTTGAGATGTTGGCGGCATTCAATGAACAAACTTTGTGGGGTTTATGAAGAGACTAAAATGTTACTGCCTTTCCAGGTGAACAGCAAGGATCTTTGGTATTTTTCTGTTAAACCTTTATTCCAAGCTCTTCTCACCCTTATGTCTCTAATCTTTCAAAGATTTCTAATTTTTAAGCTTGGTTAACATACTACTTCTGGGCAGCCAATTTGATTCAAAAACTTACTCCAAGATTTGTTAATAAACACTAGCATATTACAACAAATTTGATAGAATTTGATACAAAAGAAATTAATACTTCATTTAAATTGTTCATTTTGGCTCTTGATTGAAAGGGTTTCTTAGTTTTTTCATTAATTTAAAATGGGACCAGGGGACTGGTGAGATGGCTCAGTGGTCTAAAGCACCTACTTAAAACAAGCTTAGCAAAGCACAGGGACCGCGGTTCAATCCCCCAGCCCCACACGCCAGCCAGCCTTGCCCCCTGGTGGGCTGAGCTGGCCACATACACACATAAATAAATAAGATAAAATAAAAATCTTTAAAAAATAAATAAAATAAAATGGGACCAGGAGATGGCTTGGAGGTCCAAGCACCTGTCTGGCTAGCCCAAGTTCAATCCTTGGTACTGCCATACCATGCTGCAGTGCCAGCCACTGAGTCCAGGTATGGTGGCAGATGCCTGTAATCCCAGTACTGGGGAGGCTGAAACAGGAGGATCACTACAAGTCTAAACTTCATACCAAGACCCTGTACCAAATACATATATACATACATCTTTTTTAAAAAATTTTAAATGACAATAATGAATAAATATAATCGCATGAAGATTAGGGCAACATTCTTATTTAGGTCTGGGGATGTAGCTCAATGGTAGAGTGCTCACCTAGCTTGCACAAACCAGTCCTGAGCTAACTCCCCAGTACCACATACACAAGAAGATTCTGAGTGAAGGCATAAATCCCAGGGTTGAGTCCATGATGGCAAACCACTGGCACTTATGTTGTTTTTCTTTTAAGAGAAAAGATATTAATGTATGGGTTGCTTTTTTCTGAACTGAAGCCTCATTATTCAGGCTTAATTACAGCGCTGTGTTTTGTGATAATTGTGTACCCTATCTCTAAAAGGTTCGCCCTCGCCACAGTATGTGGTGTAAAAAGCACCATGAGAAGATAACTGTGTTGTAGGCCCCAAGTTGCATCCTCAGCACTGCAAAGAAACAAGGGGGCCTGTGTCAGTCATTCTCATGACCAGAAGTGGTTGTTTAAAAAAGAAATGACAGCCATGGGAAAGAAATTTTAAATGACAAAAGCATGTCATTGTAGACACTCTTGCCGCATATTTTACTGGGCCATGTTTGTTTCTTTGGAACATAAATATATGTGTTTTTTCCCCACATCTCTTTTCCGAAGTTGCTGTTATAAAAAGTATTCTGCTGAGTGTGGATGTGTCTATGCACATTAAAGCAGATGTGGAGTCTGAAGTAGCTAAAGCAGCTATGAAACTGAGAAATACACTCATAGCTGCAGAACCTGTAATAAGCAAAGGACCTTACTTTGGTTTTTGGTGTTAAAGAGATTTTTTTTTTGGCGGAACCGGGGATTGAACTCAGGCCCTGGTGCTTGCCAGGGAAGTGTTTATTCCACTGAGCCATGTCCCCAGCCCCCAAAAGAGATTTTAATTGTAACATAATTCTAGTGAGTTGTTCTGAAATTCTGGTTTCTACACTATCATAAAGAAAAAAGTGGAGTTTTTGGAATGGCAAAATGTTAAATTGTAAAAATAGCCATTGTCAAAGTTCTAAAAGCAGAACTCGTGTGGCGCAATGAACGTAAGGAGAGACTACTGTAGTTTTTGTTTTGTTCCTTTTAAATGAAGAAAATATTTGCTTAAGGGTTGCACACTTTTATTGGAATAAGTCTGAGTGAGCCTGCTCCTTTGGAGTAAAACAGATACTTACTGGTTTCCAGTTGTATTCAGCTTCTGGTTAGAATCTGGTAAAAAGAAAACCTAAATAAAAGAGGTGAAAGTTCCATGACTACTCAGGTTGAATACACACACACACAAAAAAAAAAAATAAAATGTTCAGGTTTATATACTTTAACATATCAAAATTAATGGCCATGATCTATTACTAGTTTTCAAAGAAATATTTTTCTTTGCTTTTAAGAATATGAAGAAACAGGCTCTCAGTCTTTAGGCAGAAGTAGATAACTAAGATATAATTTCAGACATTTTGCATTCTTAATATTTAAAAGACTAGATTTCTCTATAGATTTCTCTCCTGTTTTGATTCTGTGGTATTTGTTCAGGAAAATAATGTGTGAAAAATATTTTAGGTTTTCTAAAAATTAAAAACAGAGTGTGCTGTTTCAGTGGGTTTTTGTTTTTTGGGTTTTTTTTGGGTTTTTTTTTTTCATTTTTGAAATTAGCCACAGTGGAAAGTACCTATAATTGTGGTACTTGGAAGGCTACGGCAGAAGGCTCTGTAGTTCAAGGCCACGTTGGGCAACTTAGCTGGACCCTATATTGAAAATTAAAACAGCAGGGGACACAGCTCAGTGCTACAGTGCCCCTGGATTTGAGCTGCATTGCCACAAAGAAATGTTAAGTTTTTCAGAAATGCATTTTATAACCTGTGTGCATAGAGATCTAGAGTTCAGGACTTTCTGTGTTTGTGTTATTTATAAAAGTGACATTATTTACAGTGTAAACTTTATTTTCACTATGAAATCATCTATTTATGAAACATACTGCACTTTGAAATGTACTTTGCTATGAGATTACATTTCAGTTTTGTTTTTAAGGACCTCTTTGCTCATCTATATCTTATCTTAAAAAAAATGTAAGCTTTTGTACATTATACTTACCCTTCCATCTACTGCTAGGTAAAATTGATATCTAGAAATACATAATGATACTTCAAGGTAGTCTTATAATTTTTAATTATATTAGTACCTTTTGGAATTATGTACAGATGGAAAAAATTAAGATAGGATTTAATGTGAGTTCAGTATTATCTTAAAACATACCATACATTTTTTAAAGAAATCATGCTGTAAAAAAACACTAGTTTAATCCAGAATTTTTCAAGTCAACTATGGATACTTTCAACTTCAGGATCTACTACCACAGCATTCATAGAGTATACTTCGTGAAGTTCTACTCTAAAATACTTCCTCCTACATCATTATTATAGCCTGCTGCTTTTCAAATTGTTAAACCTTCATTCATAATTCTATCAGAGTCGGCCAGGGAGATAGCTTAGTAGAATAAGCACTTGCCTGGGAAGCGCAAGAGCCTGAGTTCAATCCCCAGTTCCATAAAAAAAAAAAAAAAGTGGAGAAGTGTTCCTTATGGGGCCAGAGAAATAGCTCAGCGGCATAAGTACCTGCCTGGCAAGTGTAAAATCCTGAGTTTGATTCCCAGTACCACAAAAAAAAAAAAAAAAACAGGTCAATCAGAGTCAATTTTGCATTAGGCAAGGGCTTATTTAATGTATAATCACATTGATCAGCCTACCCCAGTGGGACAATTGTGTTTAAAATGGGCTAGTTTTCCTTCATATTTTCTGCTAACTTTACTGAACTTTGCTTATTCTTATAGACATGCTTGAGAATTTTTCACTACATCTTATTTCATCTTCAAATCTCAGGGATATTATGCTAATACCCAACACCCAGATTCAGGACTTGTAGACAGTTTTGGTTTCCTGACTGGTCAGCTCCTGTGACTAACACTACCCAGGTGCTGCCAGGTATGCAGTGGGGAACAAAACTGGCATGTTCATAACGGGGCAAGAGGCCCTTCTGGGTGGCTGAGTTCCACCACAGTGTTCCAGTTGCCTTCCTGGGCTTGTCTCCAGGCTCTAAGGCAGGCAGGCTGGTTTCAGCAAGTCTCAGCCAAAGCAGAGTATCTTAAAGGATTTCATCTTCTTTGAAGCACCCTGGAAAATACTGTTAAAAATTTAGTTTTGTCCTTTCTCCTCTCCATTGGACCTGAAAATGTCACACATTAAATGTGAAGTTATGAAAAGGAGCAAAAATTGGAAATTTATATTAATCACATTTCTAAAATGTCTTCATGAACCATGTTAAAAAGGGAAATATTGGTATAATCATATGAAAGTAAAGAAACATTAAAAAGAAGGAAAATGAAAAGATTCCTGCAAGGATGGTCAGCGTAGGAATCACACACAAACTTTAAATGAGTGAACTTAAAAATTTTACAGAGGGTTGTGGGTAAAGCTCAGGGACATTAAGCTCTGAGTTCCAGTCCCCAGCACCCAAAAAATATCCTAGCAATGGTCATAGTTCATTAGACAACCAACTAGTCTACAGACAAGGAAGGATTTTTCAATATCCATCATCAAATACAGGACTAAAATTGAAGTAATGATTTGTGTATTATCCTCAAGTGGATTTCTTCCTCTTTCTTAGCCTATGTCTTTTGTTTATGCTCTTTAAGAAAGCCTATGTAATGTATCCAAGAAAAGTCACTTTAAGTTGTGGTACATGTAAATTAAGCATCACTTCCCACTCTGCCAAACATAATACTGCGTTGGGCATTAAACATTTCACTTGCTGTCTTCCTAGTTCCCATTCTGTGATGGATCTCACACAAAACACAATGAAGAGACTGGAGACAACGTGGGACCTCTGATCATCAAGAAGAAAGAAACTTAGACACTTTGGGCACTACAAGTCAGCTCTTTGTGATGTTACCTGATTGTTTAATCAGGGTGGCTACCACTTCTGTCTCATTCACCCCGGGATTCTAGCTGTGGTGTGTTGCAAACTTCAGCATTCATGTTTATGGTGTTTGCCTTACTTGTTGAAACATCGTGGTGCACATTTGTTTAAACAGAAAAAAAAAGGAAAAACCAATTTCATGGCTTGTGGGTTATTTTAGTTTTGAAAAGATCCGTTTCTTTACATTTAAAATGATATGAGAAATGGTTGTATCTTAATGTTAACATTAAATTATTCTCAAAATCATGTATATGTAGATCTTGTTTCAAAGAAAAACTATTTCCTTTCCATGTTGTTTAGTTAACCTAGAAGACAAATCAGGTATGCTTAAGCTACATTAATTTCTTATTTCAGCCCGTGGCCTAAGTGCCTGCCTGGCAAGCGCAAGGTCCTGAATTCAATCCCCAGTACCTCCCCCAATTCTTTCTTTGTTGTTGTTTTTTGTGCAGGGTCTCACTACATAGCTCAGACTACTAGTGATCCTCCTGTTTTCAACCTCCTCAGCGCTGGGATTACAGGCATGCACCACCACACCTGGTCGTGGTGGCCGGCTCAGTACCCCTGGGGGTGGGGCTGGTGCAGCATGTGGCTAGGGATTGAACTCCAGCCCCTGTGCTTGCCTAAGCAGGTTCTTAGTCCACTGAGTTATCTCGCCGGCCCTAAAAAATTATTAATACACTCTAGGAAAAATCTGGTATGACCTTGACTTTCTTCTTACAGTGGAAAATGTGGTTTCTGTGTGTTCAAAGTTTTCAGTCAAAATGAACCATGTTTATTTAATTATAAACCATCCAGGTCAGTAATAAAGAGGAAGCAACTTCCTTTGTGTTCGTCTTCACAGATATTAAATGGGCCCATTAAGGAACTGATAGTAGAAATTTAGAGCACAGTGATGATTGATCCAAAGTGACCATGAAGAGTATCTTTAAAGATAATTTCCAGAGTGCTGTCCGAGGAACAGCCAGCCCTCCAAACCAAGGACATGGAAAGAGTTTGACAGAACACATGCAGTCCCTGTCTGCAGAGCCATGCATCTGTGACCTGTCTCAAGGCATGAGAAAAGGTTTTATTTTTCACTCTGGATAATAAAACACATGACATGTACTGCTACTAAAGAAACTTGTGAAAATTTAAAATAAAAGAATTAGATCTTTTAAGTGATATAGTACTTTTCCTTAAAAGGATAAATTTGAAGACAAGTGCATCTGTAATCTTCAAACACTCAGAAGGCAGTGCATTCATTACTGACGCTAAAAAAGGAAAGTATGAAAACTAAAAATAATTAGATGTAACAGAATGAAGACAGGAATAGTTATTTTAGCTAGGTTTTAGAGTTTTATAAATGAGAAGGAAAAGTCAAGACAAAATAATTTGGGCAAACATTTTGACATTGACAGAACAGCTAAACATTTCTAGAGTACCCTGAATTCTCAGCAGTAGTTAGTCACAAGATTCCACCTACTACAATCCAGTTGCCATGGGTGTTTCAAAAATCAAACCAGACAGCAGATCCCTATGTTATATCTGATACTGGCTGCATTCTGTTCTGTTTGTTCATGCAGTTCTGGGGATTGAGCCCCAAGTTTCGTATGTGCCAGGCAGGCACTTTCAAATATCTGGGAGCCCCGATCACAGATAATTTTTAAACTACACAGTGTAATGTATAAATACATAAAGGTTGATGCTAAAATTACGTATACTAATTTTAAGTAGCCTGTGACCCTGGACGTGTCTTCAAGGAGTATCTCCAGTACAAAATCCAAAATTCAGCAATCTTCCTCCTTAGGTTAGAATTTTTTCCTGCCAGCCCCCAGCTTTTTAAATAATTATGAATGGTCAGCCAAAGAGATCAGTTTTAAAAGTTACTTGTTTAAAGAAACAACAAGCTCCAAGGTTTCTGATAAAGGGACATGTTACAGTATACAATAAACTTTTTAACTTAAAATTGTTGCACTGTGTTATAGATAGTGGGAGGGGAACACCTAGTATCTGTTCTCAACTTTTTCAAAGGTAAAGCATTATATGAAGCTGTGAATGGGATATGCAATGAAATCAGAAGTGATTATTACAGTGACAGATCTCGATACTCCAAAATGATTAGGCAGTTGCCGTTTCAGGACCATGTTAAAATTTTGTCACATGCTTTGAAACTAATTTGCTATATGATATTCAGACATTTTTATGTTATCAGAGAATTTAAGTGAGTGTGGTTAACAAGGTCTTTAGGCCAGAAATTGTGTGCAAGCAGTGTGCATGCCACACAGCTGTTGGCCCCAGCACTTTGGGAGGGTGAAACAGAATAGCATGTTTGAGCCCAGCTTGGACAACTTAGCAACTTAGGCAGACCCCACCTCAAAGTTAAAACTTCAGGCTGACTTTGCACTCACTGTGTAGCCTAGGCCAACCTTGAACTTCCAGGCAAATTACCATAGCCTTGCTAGTGCTGAGATTCCAGGCATATGCCACCACACCTGGCTGGAATTTAATTTTCAAAAATGATTCCAACTTTATCCTTTCAATGAAATGCTGATACTGATCGTCTTAGCAAAATAAGAAAGTGGTAGTTCTTTATTGATTCAACTGCTCTGTGAAATCTACAAGCCTAGGAATCGTTAAGCCAGAGGTCACAGTCCTATCGAGTATTGCTTAAGGCCTGGGAAATGTCGTTTTATTAAAGCACTGTCATTGCTTTATTGATCTCAATAATTTGTATATGTGAAGTTTTTCATATAACACAATGTGGTGAGGCTTCCCAGAAAGTGATGTTTAAAAAGTAGCTTTTACCTCCACTTTACCAGCATGGTTCCAAGCCGAAGACAATGCCTATCTTTCCTGACCCCTTCTCCACCTGTGCTGTAAGTGGTCACACAACATGAAGATTGGCAAGGCATGGCTGCTACCTCTGTGTCAATTTTTCTTGAGAAAAGACTGTATTTTCTTACAGGTTTAAGTGGTTTTTTGTTTTTGTTTTTGTTTTTTATCTTTTTGAGCCAAGGTCTTGCTATGCAGTTCAACATGGCCTTGAGCTCACTTTGCCATCCAGGCTGATCTTGAACTCTGAAATTGTCTTGCCTCAGTCTCCCGAGTGCTGGGGTTAATGGTAAAGTGCTTACCCTACCCTTAGTTCAGTTCCCAGCACCACACAAAAAGTTTCATAAAGGAATTACATGTATTAACTGAAGTTGCCAAGAATCATGCCAAATGGGAAATGCCAGAAATAATATTTTTCCATCAGTAAATCATTAAAAACAATGACTAAAGTTATAAATGAGAGATGTTGCTATGGTGTTAGCCTTGATGTATCTGAACAACAAAAAAGGCAGTTCAGTCTCAAAATAATTTGGGGTGCTACACTTAGAATGTCTGCCAGACATGAAAAGAGGTTCTTTTCATAGTACCTATATCTTTCAGGATGAAACACTTCAATTCTCCCAACATATCCTAAAAATAACGAAGTAGCTGGACATGATGGTGCACCCCTATAATCCCAGCTCTCAAGGCTGAGGCAGGAGACTTGTGACTTTGAGGCCAGCCTGGGCTGCTGAATGAGTTCGAGGCCAGCCTGAACTGCATAGTAAAGCCCTGATTCAAAAAGACCCCGCCCCCCAAAAAAGTCTATTAACACATCTTCAGATATGAGATTATCCATTTAAAATAATTTTGAGGGGGCCTGCCCCTTAGCTCAGTTCTTTAAGTGGCTGCTTCAACAAAGCAGTCAGGCTCAGGTTGCTGTGGTTCGATCCCCACAGCTCAAGCCAGCCAAACCTGCCCTGGGGCATTGGGAGCAAAAAAAAAAATCCCTCATTTCTGATCCATATTGTACTTAAGGAAACCCACTTTACAGAGATTGGAGTTTAGTCACG